GAGGACAGGTGTAGCCTCTCGCCAGTCTTGTAGTAACACCTTACATTTCGATGGAGAAAATGTCATACCAAACTGCATGACGGACAATGCTAACTTAAGCAGGACGTTTTGAGCGTCCTGGGAGGAGTCGCAGTGTAAAACGATGTCGTCAGAATATTTCAAGTCCCGGAGTGGATCACCTTGGAAGAGCTCCACACCGGAAGGGTTGCAGTTTTCTAGAGCGCTGCTTAGGATTTTGTCTATTGCAAAATTAAAGAGGAATGGCGAAGCTGGGCACCCTTGTCGAACTCCGCTTGTGATGGTAAATGAAGGGAGATGCGATCATAGACCTTGACGCGGCCTGATGTGTTTGAGTGGACGGCTTTTAGAAGGTTTACCTCCTCAGGCACATTGCTTCCTAACAGACATGTTCAAAGAGCTTCTCTGTCAACTGAGTCAAACGCAGCACGTATGTCCAAAAATACAATGATGGTCGGTCTACGGAACGTTTGACTTTGCTCGAGGATCTGCCGTAGCGTTTAAACGTTTGCTCCAAAAGAGTCGATTGGATTGCTGGTATCATTCCTTCTGTCCCAGGGTTTGTAATACCTGGAACTCAAATTGTTTGTGCGCCAACCATCGATGAAACATTGAAACACCCATGATTGAATGTCATAATTTGCTTTTTAATTATACTACCAACCGAACCCCGTGTGTACAGATCCTATGGGATTTGATAAGCATCAGCCTTGTAATTTACCCATAATATAAAATTTGAAATTTGAATTCATTACAATTTGCGGTCTGCGATAAACGACTTTTACTATTCCGATGAGGAGTATTTTTAAGTCAAATGAAGAGAGGCTCTATGTGTTCTGACGAATGAATTTTCAGAATCATAAATTATGGCAGTAAAAACAATAAAATGTTTAAAAGATGGAACATGAAATGGTAAAAAATAGTATGGCATGTGACTTGTAAGGTTAATAGTGGTGTGTTTGCTGGGCTTATTATGCAATAAGTTGTAATATTATTCGTGGGACTATAAGAACATGTGATTGTTTGCTCGTGGAGGATTCTTAAGTGGGAGCGCTTACAATATTTCGATCAAACCTTATGGTGCATGGTGCGAATAGCTGTCAGCCTTAGATGATAGTCGTTCAATCATCTGATTTAGAATGTCGAATTAGTTGCAAAAAATGACGTTTTTAAGATTGTTTCGTCATATCTACCGTTCAAACTTGTAATTGTTAATTGGACATGCTTAATTAAACATTATGTTGCGTTACATTTTCTGAAATGTCGAGGATTGGGCCATTGCGGTCCTTATCCCAAATGAAATAATATTCAGTCATTCATAATGCAGACAGCAATGAATCGGTGCAATTTTAGGTTAAGTTGTCTTATTGGTTCTAGTTATCCTCTTCTCATGCAGATCAATGTCAGTTATCTTCACAGTTCTTCACAGATTTCCGTACCGTTTTGTGTGTCCTAATTAAATGTGGTAATGGATTTTAGTCATTCAGTATATTTTCATCCCACGTCAAGTAACCATGGGGCCTCTGTGATGCGCTTCTGTGTAGCGCGTCAGCTGCTAATCACCACACCCTTACTTTCTGTTTCTCACACTATCACTACTTGGTCCTTTCATCAGTGCCTTATCGACTCCGGCGTTGGCTATCTCTGTCACGTGTAATATTTTTCTCGACTGTTTATACAAGTCGTTCCCCTACTGTCCCCTTTACAGTATGCTATTTGTCCATGGAGATATCCCCGTTTACTGTAATTCACATTGTCTAATAAAAAGTGTTATTTTCTTCTTCCCTTTGGTTACTCCAACCTGTTCCTCATCCTACAGTGTATTATTTACTATGTGACCAAACTACCCAATTTGTCCCAGCGCTTGACCACTCTCAGTCCGTGTTTGGAAGCGAACAATTTTTTTGCGGAATATCATTTGGATTTGGACCCGGTGTTTTTGCGTGTGATCGATGATGATTACGACGATCATGTGAACGGTGTGACCAGACGTCGATTTGTTCACGTCTATCAGTCGTGGATTCGCTATTGTCTGGAGAAACAAGCGCTCACTGTACGTTGATTTTCCACTCATCTGGCGGTCATCATTGTCCACAAAAGCGTGCTGACCGAGTTTGCTTTCTTCACACTTTGTTTTATCCATAGTTGCATGAAAGTGGACAGTTGATGTGTTTGTCGCGTGGCTTTTGTCATTCACTCAGTTATTTAGTGTGGGCTCTATCTATAACCTTTTTGCTTGATATCATAAAATTCACCCCATGGACTATATTTAATCGGTCAACACATTAGACGAAAGAGACATTCGACCGGTGTGTTATTTATCATCCCTTCGATCTGGATCGCTTGATAATGTCGAGAAAATAATATAATTTTAGAAGAACTTGAAATGTCCTCGAGATTTATTTTCAATAGTTCATGAAGAAGCTGAATTTGTAAAATTAACGGAAGTTAGAGAGAAACAATTTCAGACGGTGAATGTTTGGATTAACCCATTCGGTTTTTCACAGGCACCAAACATTGTTATCTTGGGTGTGTTTCACTCCTTGAGAGATCAATAATTCCCCATTAACTTTTTATGGTAGATTTTGATTGAAAGATTTTATGCCGATAGTTTTGGAATGGTTTTTCTGTTCCCATTGGAAGCCAGTCATGTTTCTCGCTTCAGCCGAACTGCTCTGCAACCTATCGCACAAATGTACTATGTAATTAATGTTTTTTTCCTCATCTCGGATTTAGGACACTGTATCTTGTGACTCAGATTCCCCGTTGGTAACACTATGCTATGCCTTGTCGATTATGGGTCGTCGGTGCATGGGTGGTATTCAAGCGGCCAATTTCGAGTGAGTTCTATGACTATCCTTTCTCCTTCCTCTCCGTTTTCAATCAGTTATTATTTTGAAACTGATGATCAAAACATTCCGGGGCATCGATGAAATGTATCTGCTTATCTGTAATCATCGTTTCTACATATTTCATCGTGCTTGCTACAGTGTAGGGTAACACTATCAGATAGAGATGTATCACACAATAATGATCAACATACCTCAATCGGAATAACTGCATCTGCCTCACAGGGTATTTGGTTATCATTCATTATCCATTGACCATTGTGGACTCAGATTTAAGCAGAAGTGTAGTGTGGAAATAAATCCCTTCCTCGGTATTTTGCAGCAGTCATCTATTTACCTACCTAGGATAATTAAAAGAACACGTAGAAAGCTTTAGTTTTTAGGTCGGCAGGTATTTATGTTTAATGTTAAATATCTGTTTTACTCTGCCGAAATCATACATTCACCATGACTTGTATGCAGTTCACTGGCTCAATTTCCTTAGATTAGATCACCTATTTCCAGGCGGATTAGTGGACTCTCATTCATCGTATGGAGGTGTGTAATGCGAAATACAAGTAAACCCCAGTTTCATATGAACCTAACAACCAAACTATTGTCTCCAGTTTTTACCTAAAACGAAAACCGAAAGCTTGTAACCTTGGGTCCAACACCAGTTAATGCATATCTGTGAATAACCCAACTTTCTCCCTCAGATTTCGTACATAAAGACAGTTGTTGTCGTTGTTAGATCCCTCGATCGCAGTGGTGTTTATTCGAAGTGCTTTTAAAGCGGTCACTTTTCCTACTGTAGGAAATCATCCCAACAGTTGGGTACTGTTTCTCAGAGGTATTAGATTGCCTATCCCAATCCGAGTCAACCGATTCACTGCGCACGTGCGCCAAAGTGTGCAACTTTTCAAACGACTTTGATGGAGATATCCGATTACAGTGAGTCAACGGGACA